ATAAAATCATTCTGCAGCCATTTTGATGACCAGATAATCATCTTTGCCAGAACATGTGTAAATATTTGCTGCTTTTTCTGTGTGTTATGTGATAGAAAACTGTATATTTTGGGAATCTGGACTCTTTGTCCAACAAAAAAAAGGCATTCAGAGACTGCACCTTGGACTTTAGGAAACATTTGTGACATTTGACAGAGCAAATATTGAGAGAATTAATCTGCAGATGAACAGATAATGAAAATATCTCACTATCATCATTATAGAAGCATCTTTTTTTCCTGAAGCATCATTATTAAGTGAGATTTGCTCACTGCCTTTCTTATACTTTGTCCCTTTACCACGCTGCAGCAGCAGAAACTGAACTGTAAGGATAATAAGCTGCAAGAAGAAACCCTCCTGTCTTGATGTGTCATTTTTAAGTGCTGGCAAAATGAGACTTATTTTGTCACCTTGTAATGAGGATAATGCGTTTCAATGACGCTGGTGTGGCGGCAGAATCTTCTCCATCTCAGCATGAGCAGATATTTGATCTGAGCCAGGTGATACGATCTGTCGGTGTAGAACTGTGGAGAAATATTGCTTTAAATGATCTTTCTCTCGTTTCCATTCACTTCTACTGCACGTTAACAGGACTGTGTTCACCTGGTGCAGCAGTGGGGGAAGACTGTCAGGAGTGTACTCTAGGCTCAAGCAGCTATCCAGCTCTCTCTGCATGACGTCTGCCTGAGACTGAAGTGGCAAAGCTTCAGCCACCTGCAACCAGAAGGAGAGTGAAGCCCCGGGAAATATTAGTCAAATCAAGTGCAGGTTGATCTTTAAAGTTACCTTTAAATATTATCCAGAGGCTGCCCTAAAGTTTCTAAAGCCCTTGTAACTGACAAATTAATTGATAGAGATATAAGATGAATTTTCAGCCTCACCTGAAGCCCTCTCCTCAGTGTGTGTTCCCTCTCCACACGGAAGAAGGAAATATCTTTTGGAGGCAGAACCGAACTGAAACAAAGCTGGAAATTAATTTAACAGAAATAGCTCTTGGCCAAACAGCAATGAAAGCAACACTATGATGAAAGAAGGCTTAATACATATACAAAAGTTGTGTTCATAAGCAATAAAATGCACCTTTGCTCAATGAAACACTCACTGAGAGATTTTAGCCCTCTGTCTGGTACCAGGAGCTGACGGTAGCTATTGTTAGCATGATGTGACATTACTGGGTCAGTTTGCTGATTTTATTCTACTCGTGTTAATATTTTAGCATTACCGTTATCTTGGCAACAGTGGCCTGTGTCTAAAAAAAATGTTGTATGGACTCACTTTAAAATTCTACAACGTTAGCAGCTCAAAACAGCAGCACTATGAGCTAAATGCTAATGACAGCATGCTAACACGCTAATGTTTAGCAGGTATAGGCACATAATAGAAGTTTTCCTTGTAATCTCTCTCCAGGAAAGCCCTCTCTGACAGAAATTTATTCATCTTAATTCATCTTAAGTCACAACTGTTTTTCCTAACCTTAACCAAGAAAACTTTTTTGGGTAGAAAGCCCTCGAGGAAAATTTCACCCAACTGCTAAGTGTGGAGTGGCGCATGCAGGAAATAATGAAACCCAGGAATGAGTTAGCAGTAATGACCCCACTTGTGAATTTTGAAGCTTTCAGATGTCTTAAAAAAGGCTTAATGACACTACAGAACTTTATCCCGCCGAACATGTCTGTACAGTCTCCTTGTGGTGGTGATGTTGACGTCATGGAACCACAGTGGACTTTGTTTCCAGCCTAATGTTAGCCTTGGGCAGCAGTAGGTCAGTCCATAGGGACTTGGCCTGGGAAGTGTTAGGTCAACCAAGTATGGAGCGACTGGTAGCTGTAGAGGTGCCAGCTCACCTCCTGGGCACCGAGCAAGGCCCCCAATCCCTCAACACGTGGGGCGGCTGACCAAGGCAGCCACCCCACCAAATGCATATAGGTCCTGTTTGTGCATGTGTGTGTATTAAGGGCCTGTGTTTACATGACAACAGATTGGGAAACAACTCAATTTCCCCCTGAGGATTATCTTCTACTTCAAAATGTTTTTAAAAATTAAATTAAAATCTTCTTGCTGAACAAAACAGGCATGTTTCATAAAGGTTTGTTTGCCAGAGAGCTTATTTTCTACCATAATCCCGAACTGAATGGAAAAAACCTGTTGGCTTTTTGACAAGTGAAGCAGGCAAGTTACTTTCCATGTCGGCCTACAAAAAAAGCGTCATCCCTGCAGCTCTCTATGCAGTACCATATTGATTAAGTGTGTTTGAATGCTAACTTTAGCATGCTAAAATTTAAGGAATTACCACATCAATCACAAATCAGACTGGTGAAACTGGTGCCTAAAACATTTTGAAAATTAGTAAAATATTCCACACTTAATTGTAATTATTGTCCGTGAATCATGTCTTCACTTATTTTAATACCCACTTACCTGTCAGTCTAGACAGTTTAAAACAGACATCAAAGCACCACTCTAGACATGTTTTCAGACATACACAAAATAACCTTCTCAGAAAAATAATTTGTCTGATGGTTTTTCCACAAAAACAAAAACATCACACTTGCGTAAGTTACTTATTGGACCACAACCGTCTTCCAGACTAGTTGTGATGTCACAAACTCATCCTGTGAGCACAGAGAAACTTTCACTTAAACATGAATTGAAAAAAGTCCCTTATGTCAAAACAAACACTAAGAATCAGTTTCAACTGTTACCTGACACCAAATAATCAACACCATCATCCAAGCTTCCACACCTGTAACATCTGGAGGGTACTGCTTCTTGAGGAACTCCACTCTCCTCAATCTCCGCCCTGAGCGAGGAGAGTTGACGCAACAGATCTGCCTCCATCTGCTCCACTTTAACAGAGGAGGAAACTCTGTATACGTCACACATGGCTCAGGATGAACACTTTGAGACGCTGGGAAATCCAAACATTTCAAACACAGAAAAAACACGCACTTCCTTAAGCACTGCCAAATCTCTGCCTCCACATGCTGACTTGTTGTGTTGTATCCATGGAGACAAACATCCATGCAGACAGGCTTCCTCTCCCATTTCCTGTCCTCAGTGCCTGCATTTGATCTGTAGAGGGCTCTAACGTTACACTGGAGTGCTTCTGTCAGACTATGATGTCAATGCTGTTGGGTGTTTTAGACACTCACCATTTAAACTATGATTTGTAACATGAAGTACAGTATGTAGAAATGAAGTTTAGCACCAGTTGTTGAGCAGCACCTACCTCAACAATCATGCACTCAAAAACCTTGACCTAATCTCAGCGGGTCCGTTCCTCCTGGATACAGTGTGTGATTGGTTCATAGCTCATGATGTGATTATCCAATAGCAAATCGGCTTCTTGGTGTCTGCAGAGTCAAAGTCTGCAGCTGTGCGATTCCTCTAGAGACAGAAATAAAACAAAGGTAGATCAAACAAACTCAGGTTTTCAGTGGTTCTTTAAGCTTTATTTACATGCACCATCTCTGATACAGCCAAGATAGGAGCTGGAATTACAACTGGCAATGTCAACTTGATGTCTCTTTTTGTTTTGTAGGAGCAATAGGAAGAAATGGAGTTTGAATAGTGGCAGTGAGAGTTACTCAAAATTAAGCTTAGAGTCAGTGTGAAATCATCCATGTGAAGCTACGAAAAATATTTGGAAGCACAGCTGTGCAGAGTGTTTTTGTAAAATCAAATAATAAACAAATGGGATTAAATATCTCAGTTAAAGGAACGGTTCACCTAAAATTAAAATTATATATTTTCCTTCTCACCTGTAGTGCTATTTATCAGTCTAGATTATTTTTGGTATGAGTTGCTGAGTGTTGGAGATATTGACCATAGAGATGTCCGCCTTCTCTCCAATATAATGGAACTAGATGGCACTCAGCTTGTGGTGCTCAAGTGCCATAAAATTACATTTGAAAAAAATCAACAGCAATGTCTCTTTCAAGAAGTCATGAACTGGTTACTCAAGATAATCCATAGACCTTGTTGTGAGCAGTTTCATGCAGGAACTATTTTCCTTCTACTGAACTACACCTGTCAACCGAATCACCGCTCAGAAGGCAGCGTGCATCTACTGCTAGCGCACCTAGCACCACTGAGCTAGCTAACGTTGCAGCTCAGCTGAGGAGGACAGCATTAATGTTGACATCTCACACTGTAACAAGCACGAACCTCTTGTTCATGAGTAGATACACACTTCCTTCAGGGCAGTAGCTAATGCGCAGCCCCTCCTTGCCCAGCTCTGTCTATCATTAGACTGCTGCTGCGTGAGTGTGAGCTCTGCGTCTGAGACTATCACACACAATGACAATCTAATTATTAGCATCATACGGCTAACGTTACTCAACGGTTATTAACGGGTTTAACGACAGTCAAGCCGTTTCGGTGTCAGTGTGAGATTGTTGGGACAGTATTATGGCTCAGTTTTGAATGTTAGCTGCTGCTGCTGCTGTGTTAGCTCATGTAAACCAGGCAGAGAGAGCAGGAGGAGAGTGGCTCACGGAGACGGTCCTTCAGTGCTGCAACAAACTGATGGTGGCGATCAGCTGTTGCCCCTCCTACCATCACAAATAGATCCTAATCCTGAGGGAAACACTAACTGCTCATTATAAGGCTTCAAATCTAAGATAGTATTGCTAATGTGTTCGCAATTTTCACTTGCCCCGTAATTTAATTGTAGAGCTGCCTAAAAACATTGTAACACGCATAACAATCTTTTTAGAAAAGCTGCCGTGTAATCAGACATCTTAGGGTGCAACAATCCCCAAAACAGCCCAGGGTTCAAACCCTGGGTGGGGGAGCCCTTCTGTGTGGAGTTTGCGTGTTCTCCCTGTGTCAGTGTGGGTTTTCTCCGGGTACTCCGGCTTCCTCCCACAGTCCAAAGACATGCAGGTTAGGTTGACTTGTGTGAATGTAAGCGTGAATGGTTGTCTATCTCTATGTGTCAGCCCTGTGATAGTCTGGTGACCTGTCCAGGGTGTACCCTGCCTCTCGTCCAATGTCAGCTGGGATAGGCTCCAGCCCCCCCGCGACCCCCAACAGGATAAGCGATTACAGAAAATTAATAAATGAAAAAGCCTATGAAATCCTGGAGGGACTACAGGTAAAAGGAAATGTATTCTTGATTTTGGGGTGAACTGTCCCTTTAAAATCAACAGGATGTAACATTTAGATTTTCTCAATAACTCCAAATGGAGGACACCATTTGCCGTTTGATCAATACCCGATTGAGGTGGTCAAAATGTTGAGCGGACCATTTGAACAAAAGTGCTTTTACTCAGCTCGACCACACGTCATATGGAAAAGCACAAAATATTTACACATGGAAAATAAAATAAATAAAATTTCATTCAACATGACAAATTCAGTGAAAATTGACAGTTTCCAGCTGATGAAAAATGTAAACTAAGAAAAGTTCATCCTGCCGTTCCTACAAAAACTGTGCTGATGTTGATGTTTTTTTTTTGTTTTTTGTTTTTTTGCCCTTATAGCACTGGTTCCTAATATTCATACACTATATATCCTCTTATTTCCACTTATTTAAATGCAGAAATGTTTTGGCAATATTTAAAATACTGTGGTTGTTTCTTTCTCAAATGGCAAAAATGGCTCTAAGATACTATACGACCTCCTCGCACAGGGTTGGAAACACGTTTGACCCAGCACCTGCTATAGTGCTGATAACAAAGGGGAGGCTACAAATGCTGCTCCATCTGCAGCCACTCTCTGCTATCGTCTTATTTATAGCACCAAGAACTCCTTCAAATTAACAAACACCAAAATATTGTAGCTGAGTGCTATGGAGTCTCTAAGTGTGGTTACTTTAATCCAAATACGTGTTTGCTAATGTAAATGGTGTCGACTAGAGCTAGAGTTTCTTGCTAAACACAGTCCTTAAGTCTGTCCTAAACTCTGTATACTGAGCAGTACTTCCAATATTGCAGTAAGTGGAAGAGGAGGAAGAGGAGGAGGGAAGATGGTGAAAAGGGATCTGCAGCAGAAACACCATATTATCAAGACTTCAGTAATGCACCTCTTTAGAAGGAACAGAATTCACAGTAATGTCACTAAAATCACAGGGTAAAACTCGCTAAATAAAAATAAAACATTACATACAAAAACCACACAATGTAGATCAGTTCACATCTTGATAACATATTAACCTCTACAGATTGATATTTGGTGCGTGACTCTGTGCATCAATGGGACAAAAAGAAAAAAGCTTTTCATTAACACTTTTTAAATCTTTTAGTCCGTTTAGGCTACGTCTCTCAAAGAAACTTTAAAATAAAAAAAGCTTGTCAAGTATCCTCCACTGGAACGTAATAATGTAACATTCTCTGCAGCTTTTTTCTGTAAACACGCTGTCACTCACAACAGGCTGACAGCTGGTTTGGCAAAAATGTCGGTTTAGGTATGAAAGGGTGAGAAAGAGGAGCGAAAGCAGGGTGAAAACAATTCTTCTTCAGTTTCATGTATCACGTTTGTGATACTGCATGAGTGATTCCCTGAGACTAACACGAGTTGATGCTTTTCATATAGTTTTAACAAAACGTCCTGTACTTCCACTCCAGTCAATACTGTTGTTTACACCGCCCAGGCATTGGTCTTTTTAAAGATTTTTTTTCCTCCTCTGTGAAGACACCATTGTGGGTCTCAGACACTTAAAATACAGTACCAAACTTAATGCCTCACATTGAAAATAATGGAAAAAATACTACATGAATACACGTTTACAGACGTTCTTCCCTCTAGTTTCACAACGCAGGACAATGAACCCCAATTTACATTTTCCCCCACTTCTTTTTTTGCCCATGCTGAGCTTTGACAGAGCATCTCAGCTCGGGACCCAGCTGTGAGGGGAGGTCTGTTTTGAGCTGGAGAAGCTTCCTGAATTCCTGTTGGCGTTTTGGGCGGATGTGAGGCGAGAGTCGAAGCTGAGGTCCAGGCAGTCTGCATCCATCAGTTCATTGCGAATGATGGAGTCCATGTCACACTCAAGACTGCCGTTGAACACATCGAGGTCCAGATCAGCGGGAAAGCGGTCCTGGCCGGACAAGCCAGAGCCGAGCTGCATAGAGGCATTCTTGCTGGGAGACTTCAGGTGCGGCTGCTTGGCGTCGGAGAGACCGGCGTCTTTGTCAGAGGTTGACAAGCCAGCTTGCCAACCAGGCACTGAAGAGCTTTGGGCCTCACCCACACTGGTGTGGTTCACCAACATGTGGTCTTTGCGGAGCAGCATGGCATTGCGGCGGGAGTTCTGCAGGGCGATGGCGGTGCTGGCCTGCGACATCAGCGGGTCAGACTGGGTGAGCATGACGTTGCTGTGGCTGTGGGAGTCCAGGCTGAGCAGATCCTGCAGGGTTTGATGGTCGCTGAAATGCGAGATGCAGGAGAAGGTGGTCTGCTTGTTCTCCTGGATGGTCTGCATGGGCGACTGCCGCAGGCTTGTGATGGACGGCGGGCTGAAAAGAGGGTTAGGCCCGTAGCTGCCAGAGGGGCTACCCAGACTGCTGCCTGAGCAGCTGAAGGTAAACACTGAGCTCCCCTGACCGTTGGCTCCGTTGTCTTCCTCTCCAGGAGGAGGCTGCTGGGATGCGGTCAGGCTGATATTGTCCAAAAGGTCGTCCATCAGGTTGTCAGAGAGCCCGTCATTAAGGTTCATGGTACCTGCCAGGTCAGAGAGCCCTGTGGGCCCTGTGGACGGGGACATGCTGCTGGGGCTGGAGTACAACATTGGGGAGAGGGGCGAGTCGTCATCAGGCACCTCATCCAGCTCCAGGTTGGCCAGGATCGGGGACAGTCGACCGCTGAGTGTGCTGGCGTTGGAATTGGTCCGGGAGCGGAAGTCTGTCCAGGCGTCCAGCTCGTCACTGCTGCGGGAGGTGGGACTTCCTGTCCATTTGGAGAGGCTGGAGGAGCTCTCTGAGCTGCCGTCTTGAGCTGCCTGCAGCGAGGCTTTCTTCTTGGTGGCACGTCCTCGGGCTCCTTTGATGTACTTGCTGTTATCCATCGATACGGCCCGTCGGCGGGGAGCTTTGCCTCCTTTCCCACCTTCTGGGTTGACCATCCACCAGGAGCTTTTTCCTGTTCCTTCATTCTGGACTTTCACAAAGCGACTGTGGAGGGACAGATTGTGTCGGATGGAATTCTGCAATTAAAATGGATAAAAATAATTAGAAGCTGTTTAGTGCAAGTTTTTCCTGTAGAGCTGGTACAAGATAATAGAAACCAGAGCCAAATCCTAAAACATAATCAGCCAATAAATCTGATGTTAATAAAATCTCTGTAAACAGATGTCTGTATATGTATAAAGAACCTGTAGACAATGGGACAAGATTTTGGTATCAGAAGCGTGCTGAATTTCCGCTTGTAGCCTGAGTAGTATTGACCAATCATGTTTAACGGGAGGTAAATAGTCCATGTGGAATGCATTTGCGGAAGTGCTTTGAACTCAGCTATCGTCTGACGATGACTTAGCTTTATATTAGCTTTGTCTAAAAAATGTAGCTGTGTTCACTTTTTCTCTGAGACATGCCACTATAAATATTGTAAATACTTCAAATTCAGCTAGAACCAGAACCAATCATTATTCTAGGAATGTCTGATGACATCAGAAAATTAAGCAACTCTTGGCAATGTTTCCTATCCTAGTCTCACTATTGAATCGGAAAAAGAAAGAAGTCCCCACAGCAAAGATGTGGCTTAGTGACCTTACGAATACACCTCACCTTGAAAGAATAAGATACACTCTTATGGACAAACTTCCATATTTTGATCAGGTTTGGTCACCTCTCACTCATTACCTTCTGTGACCTAAAATTGGCATTGTGATGGAAGGGTAGGGCTGGCTTTTTTAATTATTCTTATTACTGTTATTATTATTATTATTATTATTATTATTTTACTGTATTTTTATTTTCGTTTTATTGTATTACATTTGTATGTGTTTTCTCAGTTATTACTGTTCAGTATATGTTAAAAAAGTAACAAGAGCGTATTACGATCAAACTGCATGTATTTGTATTTAGATACAATACTTGCTCATTTATGTGGTGTCGACATGCTCAAATAAAACACATTTGACACTACAATGTAATTAAATTGCGTGTGTGTAAAACTGCTCACAAAATCTGGCAACATCAGCACTAAAGGTAGAAAATTAATAATTTTAACTTCTAATGCTTTGGGCCTGCCACAACAGAAAAATCAAGGTTTTTGATACTTAACTATTAAAACCAAGTGCTGTAAATGCTGCAGTGTATTCTAAGAAACACTTCTACTTTGCACCTCATACTGTGACCTATTTCTGGCTGCTCAGAAAGGTCTACAGGATTTCCCCGGAGATGTTCCCAACCATGTACAAAATTAAACAGCTGGAGCCTGCCGACGACCGGCCTGCACCAAGTCACACTGCAGTAACAGAAGAAGAAAACTCTGCAGTGATCTCTGCAGCCCAAAGGCCAAGTTCACAAGGAGAGGGTCCAGCATAATTCTCTTAAGCTTGAATTAAGTTGAGTAAACCGAGGTCCTATTTAAATCCATCTATCAGAAGATTAAACTAATCAAACACTAAAGAAGCTCAATGCATGGATCCTATAAAACGCAGCTCTGAGGGAAGATGCTCTCCAGCATTGTGATGACTGAGAGATCACAAACAAGCCTTGGCCACAGTTTTGCTCTGAATGCAATGAGTCAATGACCCGCTGACATCAAACATCCAGCAAAGCCCTCGCTTCAAGCCAATTAAAGGATTAGCTGAACTGGCAAACACTTTCATCACTTACAACAACAAAGCACATATGACTCTCACAAAACTTTAGTTACTACATTGATCTTTTCTTTCTCATTTCCTTCCACCATAAGTTAGCTGGAAAAGTTGGTGGCTTCTGCTGATCACTCAGAATTAACCACTGATCTCCTAATTAGGTTAAAATTTAACTGTTTCTCCCTTTTTTTATTTGTCAACAAATCCCATTAAAAGACAAAAATCAACAGTGTGCTAGTCCATCTCTCAATAATTTCAGACACTGTCGCCCCAAGATCATTTGTTCCTACTTAAGACGATATCTTTAAAGAAAGTTTAACATTTTGGGAAAAAAAGTGCTGTAATAGACGAGACAGACAATACCACTGTCATGTATGTACAGTAAATATTAACGTAGAGCCAGTAGCCAGCTAGCTTTTAGCATAAAGACTAAAAACAGCTAGCCTGGGTCTCTCATGGTATGTCTTGTTATTTAAATCCATACAAACAGAGTAAAATGAGTAAAATTCTGGACAGAGCCAAGGTGTTTCCAGTTGTTGAGCGAGCTAGGCTAAGCTAACCAGCTGCTGGCAGTTGTCCTGACAAATGTTAAACTATTCTTTTAAAAACAGATCAAACATTTACATCTCTTTATTTTGGTCATATGTTGGCTCCAAAAAAAAACAGTCCTACTACAGGCCTTTTTGTTAGTATTGTTAAACACCTACATCTCCTAGAACAGATGACCCACTCCATACGACTCCAAAAAGAACTGGGAAAAAAACGGTGGGAAAAATGGTGTATTTATTTAGCCAATGAGACCGATACTTAATAACAACTGTTCTGTGTGACATTACATTGTAAAGATGCTAATATTTGCATTGAGTCGGTATTCATCCCATGACGTCATATGTTGTATGTTTATTCCTGACATTGTAAAAAATACTCATAAATAAAAAGTTAAAAAAAAACAACAACAACAACAACAAAAAAAACAGATCAAACACACTTCATATGTTTTTTGAAAAGGCTCATTAATTTCCTAAAAGAGCTGGACCTTGTAGTTTTCAGTATACATCACTCAAAAAATGACAAGATGTGGACAGAGCCCAGCTAGTTGTTTCCAGTTATTTAGCTAGCTAGGCTAAGCTAACCGGCTGCTGGCAATTTTCCCACCAAAATGTCAAACAAGTCTTTTCAAAACAGTTGAAAGATACAAAATTAACTTTAGAAAAGGCTTAGTGATTTTCTAAAACAGCTAAGCCTTGAAGTTTTTAGAAAATATTACTCAAAAAATTACACATTGTGGACAGAGCCAAGCTGTTTCCCTGTTTCCAATGTTTTAGTTAGCTAGGCTAAGATAAACGGCTGCTGGCAGTTTTTCCACCAATATTTCAAACTAGTCTTTTAAAAGCACTTAAAAAATACAAAATTATTTTTTAGAAAAGGTCCAGTAATTTCCCATAATAGCAAATATTACTCAAAAATGGCATGGTGTGGACAGATCCAAGCTAGTTTTTTCCATTTTTTAGTTAGCTTGATTAAGCTAACCAGCTGCTGGCAGTTGCAGTTTGCTGGGGACTAATTTCAACCATGAAATAAGTAGGATGGTGTATTTCAGATAAACTCAAAATAAACTACAGTGCCCATGTTCTTCCTAAAGACTGAACATATCAGCCAGTGCAACAGTGTGGATCAATGATGTGATATTAATAGTTTTTGACAACAATGGAGCTCTACGGCACACAGGAAGAACATATATGAGGCTTTGGATACACAGAATATACTTGTTAGTAGAGTTGATTCATTTCTGGTTTTGGTGATTTCATGGGATTTGTTGATGAAAAGAAAACAATAGAATACCTTCAGACTTCACCTTTAACTGAACTCACTTCAATGCCTGGCTTAAAATCTACATTTCCTCATCGGCTGGAATGCGTCCATTTCCATTAGCTGGGTTTATAACCAGAAGGCTGGGTTGGTAATTAAAAGTAGATAAATCTCTGATTGTTTGATGAGGACTGCCAAGAAGATGAAGACAGCGCTCCAAATGTCACAGCAGTGCAGGTGTTAACAAAACACACAGTGGGAGCAACTCCCAGTGTGTAGACTTTGTTTTTGATTTCATGTTTTCTTCGCCTGCACCTGTGAGTGGATAAAATATGGATGTTTTTAGTCTTGCGTGGGAGATTTCTCCTTATCAATTTGGCTGAAAATCTGCATAAACGTCCAGAAACAAGGTTATAGGAACAGTTTAGGAAAACCCAAAGCGATGCTGCAAGGATGCAAATGTTAACTCACTTTGCATGCTAAGGACACATCTCTGAGCCTAAACAGACTGATTCCACGAACATCAGTGTTACTGTGACTGAAGGCAGTTAGGTAGAATTCATACTTCTGCGTTGAATAGACGGAGTAGCCTGACGGGCACCTCCCCAGAAATGTAACTACATGTTGCAGCGATGTAGATCTCCTGTCTATTTTTGTAGGCTGAAACAATTTCCCTCAGTGGAAATGAAACTTCTATTTGCTTGAATTTCACAGATAAGAAACAAAAAAATAAAGCCTCCACAAGAATAGCATTTTAAGTCTTGTGTGATTTATCCTGGCTTCATATGAGCAGAGAAAATCTCTGCTTATCGTTTGGCTAATTTACACAATGTAAAATGCCATAGACATATGCTAACAACATTAGAATGTTGCATATGTGGGGAAAATGTGTCCAGATAAAGACAAGTGCTTTGTCTGTTATTCCTGTGAGTTATAGTGCAGGATATAGTACATTTATACTTGTGTGGTGGTGTGTCTGTCTCACTCTGCAGTTACACCTCCAGAACACGAGATGGCGGCAGGTTTTCTGTGAAGTGCTGTGAAGTTTAACTGATTCAAAAAACACACCCAAAACACACACTTAACATGGCTTAATAGATACAGTCGGCAATGACGGGAACGCCCACAAACGTCACATCCGGTTAGAGCCGAGGGGGAAAACAAACCGGTCTCTGCCATTAGCCACAATGCAGAAGAGTTGCTGTGTGCCCATTTGCACCGCAAATAAAAAAAAAAATCACCAATTAAAGTTTTACATTTTACCAAATAATAAAACGGAACCACAAAGGAGGACAAAATGGCTTCAAGCTATCAGAAGAGAGGATGGGTTTGGCAGATTATGGGACCCAACAACAAAACGTGTATGTCTGCAGTCAGCACTTCATTTCAGGTAAGTTTAATGTAATGTTAACCATTTCCAAACAATCGTAGACTATGTCAGGGGTATCAGGAATATTAGATTTATTGTTTAAACGCTAGTGAACTTTGTACTACATTTGTAATTTGTGTAGATTTCCTCGCAACACATACAAAAGTACACATTCAGTACCTAAGCAGAAGTACAGATACTTGTGTACAAAAGTCTGGTAAAAGTAGAAGTACTGATTAAAGTTCTTTACTGAGTACGGTATATGTAAAAAGAAAAGCGCTGGCTCTGAAATGTACTCCAAGTATAAAATAAAACATAGCCCTCTGAAGGACATTTCTATTACCTGTTTCTGTGCAAAACTAAAAGCTCTCTTCTGATAGCTTGAAGCCATTTTGTCCTCCTTTGTGGCTCCGTTTTATTATTTGGTAAAATGTAAAACTTTAATTGGTGATTTTTTTGTTTATTTGCGGTGCAAAAGGGCATCCAGCAACTCTTCGGCATTGTGGCTAATGGCAGAGACCGGTTTGTTTTCCCCCTCGGCTCTAACCGGATGTGACGTTTGTGGGCATTCCCGTCATTGCCAACTGTATCTATAGCGACAATGTCAAACACAAGTACACAAATCAGTTTCACTATAACTTGCAGCATCCACAGACAAAGCACTTGTCTTTATCTGGACACATTTTACCCACAAATACAATATGCTACTGTTTTTAGCACCACCCTATGGCATTTTACATTGTATAAATTAGCCTAGCGGCTAGCGGACTTTTCTTCTACTCATGTGAAACCAGGGACAACAGCAACATTTAACAAAGGTAACGTTACAAAATTCAGCTCCATTACAACTCACAAAGGTCACCAACAAACCAACTGTCTTATACTAAACATGTTTTCCAAACAAATATAACATGCTAACGTTATTAGCACAAGCCTATGGCATTTTACATAAATTAGCCTACCGAATAGCAGAGATTTCCTCTGCTCATATGAAGCCAGGATAAATCACACACAAGACTTAAAATGCTATTTTTGTGGAGGCGTTATTGTCTTCACCAATATTTGTTTCTTATCTGTGAAATTAAAGTAAATAAAAGCTTTGTTTCCACTGAGGGAAATGGTTTCAACTCACAGAAACAGACAGGAGGTCTGCGTCGCCGCAACATGTAGTAACGTTTCTGGGGAGGTGCACGTCAGGCTACAGCTCTAAAAAAGTGTTGCTGGAGGACTTGTGAATGAATGAGTGGGACGGAGCTGTGTTGAGAATGTGAGAGAGAAGAAATACACACTGGTATGTGTCACGTAACACAACTTGACCCTATATCAATACAAACTGTTATCAAAATTTATATCTTGCTTGAAAATATATCGATATATTGTACAGAGTCGTTATATCTCCCAGCCCTACTATCTGCTAATTCAAGCCAAAACAAATGGCTCATTTTACAGCATCCTATCCATTAGGATTGTATATAACGTTGGATATAGGGAGCACGTGAACACACTGTTTTAAATTCACATACATTGAAATTCAGGGACTTGGTTAAATTTAAAACAAATAATCTACAAAGCAAGAAATAATCTACTTCTGGCCAATATTCAAAAAATGTTTTTGACAGGGAGGGGGGAAAATTAAATCTAAAAAAGATTACGTTCATCCAACTTTAAAAAGTGTGTGATTCAGTGTGTGGGGTGGACTTATGGGATGGGATAGATGAGGAGTTGAAGCGAAGCACAACTATAGAGCACTTACAAAGAACACAGTATATTTAGGAGGTATGCAGACGATGAGGGGTGATGCCAATTGATTGGTTTATTTATTCATCTGGGTTTGTATATTTAATATCTAATACTCTTGTTTATGCATCTATATTAATGGTTGTAATTAAGTTTGGGACTGTTGTTGACAACTTCCTATTCAAATGAGACATAAATACTGAGAAGGGCGAGGGATAATATAAGTGTACATTTCTTCTTACTCCTTGGTGAGCATGTCTGTTGATGTTTTGTTTTTATTTTGCTCAAAATAAAGTCATTCATTCATAAATCAATTAGATAGAAGAGAGAAAAATAGAAGAGAAAAATGAGTGGTGAATATTTTAGTTGCTAACTGACTGTTTTTAGAAGATTTCAAGCAAAAAAAATGACAAAAATCTGCAGTTACAGCTTTTTAAAATTGTGAATATTTGCTGTTTTTCTTGTTTTATATTGTTAGTCATGCAAAGAAAGACACCTGAAGATGTCACTTTTGACTCAGAGAAACTGGATTTTTTGCTTTTTTCCTACATTTAATAGACTAAACAATGACTTGATATACTGAGGCAATAATTTTGTGATTGACTGATAATGAAAATAATCGATCCAGCAGACTGGAGTTATGCTTCTCCGTTTGAAACAGGATTTGAGCGGTGACATAATGAAAAAGAGTATGTTTATCAATGTTTTTTCTTATGCATGATATTGTCAACTTGGCCTGAACAGTGTACAAGACTTTACCTTTCCAAACTAAGTCATGAGAAGAGGGAGTGGAAACAATAAAATCAACACCTGTCCTGTTCGGCCTAATGAAATCCTATACAACAGCCCCGCAATAAATAAATAAAACCTCCGTGACACTTTGATTCAGGTTGTGTCTGTCTGAGCGGTTTTGATTCAACTCTGTGGTCATTTATGAGGCAGTAAATTGTAGTGTTGCTCTATTGGACTGTATTATGTTACAGCAGGTGGACGAAACTGCAGTTACACTTTGCATTATAACACAGTACAGCACAATGAAACATAATCTACAACCTGAAAATGTCCAATGAATTCGATTCCTTCAATGGATGCCACGAAAATATGTTATAAGCTGCACAAAGGCAGTTTTTTGTTACATAGCTGTTGAATTTCAGTACGTTATGCTGCACAGATGATGCTGTTATTGTGTGTAGTTGAGGTTTGCTGTGGTATAACATCACTGATAATCTTGTATGTCTGTGTATAAAACATATTCCTGTTATATTTTGGATGGGAAACACGCAGCAGCTGCAACTACCCAGCCTGCTTCTTAAAAATAAAGATCTGTAGGACATTAGTGCGTCTTCAAGGCTTCAGAGATGTGTTAAATGTTCTGCATGCTGCACAGGTAGATACAGTAGGAGCCATACGACATATAAAAGATAAATCACAAAGAGCAACTCCTGCCTGCCCCTCCCCCACACAGCCATAGCAGCTCTGCAGCACCCTTTGAGCAGAGAGCCTCGTTCTGAGCGGGGACTGGAGCAATGCCAGTTTAGCCAGAGCCAGATCCAAAGAGAAACACTGAGCTTCTCTCACACTGCTACACATTGACCTACATAATTTATAGTCAGCTGATTGATTCTTGTGCCCGGGCCACGTGAAAAAGACAGTGTGGCACACAGCGGGGGTCGAGCCACTGGATGGTCATCTGTATGGGAGCTGAGTATTTTGTTTGGATTCACAACGGGGGGGGGGGGGATTTAACCTCGTGCTGGAGCTGCAACACAAAGGTTGTCATTGAATGTGGCGTGGAGAAGTGTGACAGGTCTGGATTTACAACCTCTCAGTCACACCCTCGACACACTGCTGAGGACATTTTTGCACACAGTCCCTCATGCAGATGGCCAACCCTAAGCTTATTGCTGAATGTCACACAGCTACAAAGCATCTCCTAGGAAATGCTGATATCAGCACTTCTGAAAACCTCACGTTAACCCTTTCCTCTACACGCCTGTATCTGCCTACAGCCCCCTGAACACATCTGGTGGCAAACAAGCATCCAAAACATGAATGAAAACTGATCGCCACTAATCTGCTGTATTAACTAAGCAGCTGATTCTGTGCAGATTAATCAGTTATTAGCATCAACACACTGCTTATAGTTCATACTCCCATTCCCATCAACATGTTACATCATCACCCTGATCTCCAAACCACAATCTTGACCCTTACTGTAATGTCTTAAAGAAGAAACTCCCTGGAAATCAGCCTGCATCCCACATCCTACAGTTGTGCAGGATTACAAACCTATTTCCAGAGTTTTTTTTTTCTCTCTACCCCCCACCCACCACCACCACCCCTCCATCTAAATCCTGCAAAGCTCAAAGCTTTCATCAGACTTGATTCCATGACAGATGAATTGGTTTTCCAGGCCGAACTAATCCTTAAAATCAAACAGAAGCAGGGCCCCGGTGGAACCTGTAAGAAGAAGCCCCTGTGCTGCAGTGTGAGCAGTTTGTCTGAAAGTGAAATTAATTTTGCATTGCTTGTTTTGGGTCTCGACTTTCATACTCACTACATTGTGTTTACTGGATTGGTGTGTGCTCTGGTTTTGTAATAGTGTGTGTAATTTGAAGCACACTGTACTCATATTTTGACAGCAACTTGGGTCATTTTACACCATGGGCTTGTCAGGCAGCCACACAGTTCTATATACCCTAATCTAAATTATAATATGCCTCCTAATAAAGCTGTATACATGGTGGTGTCTGCAGATAATCTGTTTGTGCACCCTCCTCCTCCATCTCCACATAAACATGGCTGTGTGTCTTTACATGACCACAGTATGGTCTTTGTTATGATGACAGCACCAGCATGTCACCGCTCACCTTCCAGCCAGCAGAGCTATTGCTGTCGCCTTTGTCCTTGAAATATGGCACAGACCTCACCATCCAGTCATAGATTTGGGACAAGGTCAGCCTTTTCTCGGGGGAGCTCTCGATGGCTTGGGTAATGAGGTCTGCATAGGAGTAGTTGCCCCAGGCGTTCCTGCGGGCGGAGGACTTCCTCAGCTGCTGGGAGGCAGAGCCACCGAGAGCCGCGGCGGGGGTCTGCGCCGAGGAAGGCGAGCCATCGGCGGCCTCCTCCTTGCAGTGGCCGCGCTGGACCTCCACAGGCTGGGAGATGGAGCTGCTGCCGCTCTGCGCACGGGATTTAACAATGCCGCCGCTGGCTTTCTGCGCGTCGCTGCTCTCAGTGCTGCCACCCTCATCATCCTCTTCTTCAGGGATTACGTCAGTGTCATTTGTCCCGGGCTTGCCCGCACCAGACTCCGGACGGGGAAGGGGCCAAGTGCAGGACCGTGGCCGCTTCTGGGGCTCGAAATCCGGATCGATCTCAACGTTTAAAGGAGGCTCGTTGCCGTCGCGCGGCGCCTCAGCCATGTTACTCGCAATATCTCGGTCGCAGCACAAAGGGTTATAAAATCACTCAGGTCGCATTCCATCAATGTCGCGTGAAGGCTTCAGGGACACTTTATTTACTATGCACGGTATGCAAATGTCCAGCAGCCTGCAGCCCAGTCCCCAGCACGTGTCTGTCTATCTGTCCTGCAAGGCGTCTATCCGCAGCACACGGAGCTGATCGGAGCTGACCAGCATTAACAAAACATTGCCTTTTCTCGTGCACAGCCCACACCCTCGCCAACATGCATTGCAATTTCGCGAAATGTGGGTTTAAAGATAGGAGGCGGCGGCGGGGAGTCTTCGGAGGAATCCAAACAGCGTTCCTTTACAAGCGCCCGCGTCCTGCGCCGCGATCCTGCGACGTGCATGCCAAAGAAAATGAGAGAATACTACACCTAATGCCACCACATCAGCTTTATCACTCCGCACACAGCTGCCATCTTGACCATTTCCTTTCCCAAGTTCTTTATCATCCGTGCAGAGAGCTGCCAGTCGTCTGTGCAGTGCGCTGCTGCTGTCCAGATACCATCAAGGCGGATTTTGCTTTCTCTCAAGGCCCTGCTGCAGCTTTCTGAGAAAAAAGGAGGCTACTGGAGAAATGTGGCGAGGCTCAAGTCCGCCCTCTCAACAGCTAAAAAAAACATGATGCATTCTGGCTGTACATCTGTGGCATCTTGAACAGGCCAGCAGCACGGTGTCCTCCGTGTGGCCAGCAGCCTGCAAACACACTTCATTCAATGTGCTGCTGCTGCTGTGGTTGGTGCAAACACTCCGAGTCCGAGAGAAGGAAAACCTCACGATCCTGCCCCCTGGACTGCACTGAAATTAAAGTGACAGTGTGGAGATGTCCGCAGACCAGTGACATCACCGTGTACACCTCTAATACATGATCACAGCATGTCTAATACTCATAAACACCACTAAAACTTAAGTAACCTGCTGATATTTGACTTAAATGTTAAATAAATTGCACTGAAAATGACTGTGTTGCTGCAAAATAAAAGTTGCAACCAATCCATTACTCATCATGCTATAAATACTAAATACTATACTAATACTAACAAAATCTCTAAAAAAGGATCAGATATTAGTATTTTTTTCATCAAATTTGTCTCAACAGCCTGTTTTAAAGTGCTCCCCATATTGCTAGGAATAAAGTTAAAGCATGAATGGTTGTGAATGGTTATTGCTGTAAACTGCAAATTCTATACACTTAGTTTTCTTGCGTTTCTTAATGACCTGAAGAGGAGTTTAAATTCTACATTTAACCTACACGTTCACAAATGGCAGGTTTTGAAGGTGGATCCAATATTTAAAAAACTGAAAATCTTCCAATATGATTGTTTTTTTCCCATTAAATGTCAAGTTAAATTTAAAGGAATACTTCATCCCCCAAATGACTATTTTTGAATCATTTACTCACCCTGTAGTACACTGAATTTGTGCAGAAAACTTAATTTTCTCACATGCCTCCACGGTGAATGAAGAATCCAAAAAATCCCTGATGAAGTCATATAGGCCTCGTGTAAAATGAAGTCATTATACAGTAATAACTGAAAATAAAATGCCTTAACACACTGTCAGTTCATGAATTTGATGAAGAAATACTGACATTTTCTTTCATATTAACAAATTACTTGTACTTAGCTTTACTGCTGACTATTTCCTAAAGTGTATAGAAATTGAATCTCCCCTCTGGGTTTAATAAAGTAGATAAAATAAGAAAAATAAATTTAATTAAATTAGAAAAACTAAAGACCTTTAGACTGATTCATGCATTTTTCTCAATCAGTGGTTTCAATTCACGCACAGTACAGTGTGACAATCAACAAACTAATGCCTGAAACTTGCATCAGGTAGTAAAATCTATTACAATTAACATATAGTTGCCTCAATTTTTTGACATTTAAAGGCTTTAAGGAATACTTCACCTCCCAAATGTTATGTTAAATGTTATGTTGCATTCATGAAGAAACCTTTGTTTTTCTCACATGTCCCATCGGTGAACGAAGAATCCAAAAACAGACAACATTCTTGATGAATGGAAGTCATAGGCGACCATGTTAATTCTCCCACAACTTCTGCAGTATAATCCAAGTCTCATTTATCCAGTCGTACCTCCCAAACGCATGCAATTCTGCTAAAACCTTTCTAATTAAGACTGAATTCAAATTAATCTTATCTTTGCTCTCTTCAAAGCCAGACTCCACTGACAAAACCAGTAAAACATCACTGACACAGGAGGTTCTGAAATAGCGCCACCTCGATCTGTTAGTGTGTGTAACTGTGTCACTTTTGTGTTTTTACGTGTTAGTTCGGATTCACTTAAGTCAAACAATAACACAAATGAACTAATTGAGCGCACAGTATATCAGAATGTTTACATATATCAGTGTTCAGCGAGGTAAAATTGCTATTTTATGTTAATGGAGTCTGGCTTTGAAGAGAGCAAAGACAGGTTTCACTTAAAGTTTAATTACCCATCAGGCAGGGTTGTCTGTTTGGGAAGTATTAGGCATAAAACTGGGTTAACGAGACTTGGATTATACTGAACGAGTTGTTTGAGAGTTTGCTGTTAAACGTGGTCGCCGATGACTTCAGTTTATCCAGAATTTTCTCTGTTTTTGGATTCTTTGTTCACCATGGAAGCATGTGAGAAATACTTCTTCATGAATTGACACAGGGTGAGTAACTGATAAACAAAAGGTCATCTGGCATCTTAAGTATTCCTTTAAAATAGCTACACTGGGGTGCTGATGGCTTAGTGATAGAGCAGGCGCCCCATGTACAAGGCTGTTGCCGCAGCGGCCCGGGTTCGACTCCAGCCTGTGGCCCTTTGCTGCATGTCACTCCCTCTCTCTCTTCACCCTTCACACTTGTCTGTCCTATACATTAAAGACTAAAAAGTCCCCCAAAAATTGACTGAAATTGTGCTGTGAACTGTAGAAAAACAAAGTTGAAAAACTATTTGAATGAATGTAAATCACAGTTGAAGGCAGATAAATCCTCCAATATGAAACAGCTTTAAAAAGATCTTCAGATTTAGTTTCAGCACAAATAAACAAAGATTCCACTAAACTAAATACCACCAACTGTCTGTTGGTCCCAATAACACTCTTTTTTTGTTTGTTTGTTTGTTTGAACAGGAGACAAACTTTGAGGGTTTTTCTCACTTTCACTTCCCACACTGCTTCTTTGTTTTCGTCACGCGCTGAATATTACTCAGCTGTTTAAATATGTGTGTTTAAATAAAGGCGAGATTATTGTAAAAAGGCAAACACTTGAACTGTTGTTTGTTTTGTTTATGAAGACAGACACATAAAAATATTTTGCCGCTGAAGTCATCTGTAAATTAAAAGCACTTCCTTGTTTCCTTTTTTTAAATACTGATACATGGAGTCAAGTGTTGTTTAACTGATCCGTGAAACGTTCTGAGACGAACATTTCATGAGTCCCATCCACAAAAATCATCAGAAATAAACACACAGCTCTAAATCCCCAAATAAATCTGCTGCCACTGTATTTATGCTTGCATTAAAATCATATATAAATCACCGAGATGCATTATGTTCTCCAAAGAGACGAGATTAAAATATCCCTTAAATCTTCATTAATGTCCTTTAGGAATCCATTTCGAAAAGTCGTCCAGCTCGTTCCCACAGATTCATAAAATACCGTTGGACCTCTAAATGTTGCGGAGTTAAAAGCAATATGACACCCTAAAGTTCAGCTTAAAAATGATATGTAAAGTGCAATGTCACGATAAAGTCATAAAAGGCCTGAAGATTTCAATAAATATTCTCTGTACAACATGTGCACGCGTACTGCCGAGCAGTCCCACTGGCTTTGTGCTGGATAAGATGAGTGGGAGTTAGTGTTCAGTCTGGGCTGTTTTTGGCAGAGAGGAGGACAGTTTCTGGAGTACGGAAGTTGTGTAATGTGATCCACTTTTCAGAAATGTTATACTTTTGATTTAGTGCTCCTGTCCCCTTCTAACCAGTATTCTTCTGACTGCATCTCCGTGAGGCGAGACACCGTCCTCTGGAAGGCGAATGTTTCCTCCTCTCCGCTGAAGATGGACAAACTGCTGGCTTCATCCTGTTAAACCACAGGGTGTTAAATTAAAATTAAATGAGTTGAGTGAGAATCGTCCTCATGGAAAAAAGACAATTCAACAGAAAGATGACAATGTGCTGCCGTCATTACACCAATATTTATTCTTTATTTTTATGTTTTAAAATCTGCAGACCTCACATCATCTTCAAAGTTTGGTCTTTGAATGTTTACACAGATCTTTCCTTTATTGCACTCGGGTTTTGAAGCACCCATATATACTATGTTTTATGGTTTCCTGTTTACCGAATATTTTCATCTTGTTGAAACAATTTTTCAAAGAGATTTCTTGGGGTGTCTCTTTCATCAATTTACATGGTGAAATAAGAGTCCAGGTTGAAAAATGCTGAAGCCATCCTTTAATAGCAGTTAGACACCATTAACAGGGATGGTACATGATTGTTATCGCCATGTTATGCCAGTGTTATTGTTTAGAGAGCGCTGCCGACGTGCATGTTGTGACAACGTTTATGTAACGCCTCACTTGCTTCTGTGATGCAGGCATGCTGTTTAAAATCAAACACCGGAGCGGCGTGATGCTGCAGTTGTTTGGTTCTGTGTAATAATGCAAAGGTGGCATTGAGAAGGGACTCTTAAGTGGCCCTATGGCGTGATCTCTGTGTAAAAAGGGCCATAGACAGACAACCATTCACGCTCACGTTCACACCTACGGGCAAAATAATTGTCACCAATGATCCTAACCTGCATGTCTTCAGACTGTGGGAGGAAGCCAGAGAAAACACACGCTGACACTAGGAGAACATGCAAACTCCTCACAGAAAGGCCCCAGCATTTCATGTCACATCTCTCTATTAGTTATTTAGCAGGATATCCCAAAAACTTTTTACAAGATTTCAATGAAACTTGGTAGAAGGTAAAATCTTCAGATCCATGGATTTCTTAATATGTGGGGCTTTTTGGAGCATTTCTCTCTGACCTACGTATCCAATAATTGTTTATCACTATGTAAACTCTAATTTAAATGCAGGTAAAAATTACTGATACCAATTTCTATTATTAAAGTCATACACTAAGAGGATTGAGCATTCTTGTCAGAGGTATACACTTACTTGATTTAAAAGAAGTTCAGTTAAGACTCAGTAATAGACCAAAGTTCTGGTGAAGATGATTTTTCACTGGACTGACTAACTTTCGTCTGTGTTTAAACTTCCTTTACTGACAGCCTCTGCCAATTTAATCATCTACTCTACCACATGAAAAAATGGTTTAGCTGTGAAAACAGAGTCCGCGCTCTCACCCTTTTCAGCCCTAGATCGTCCATCATGATGTGGCTCTCGTCGTGATTGTGATCACCATTGTGTACGAAAATATCCTCCAATGGATGATCTGCAAGAATCACCACCCGCACCTGAAACAAGACAACATTATTGTATTTAAAAAAAACAGATGTAGGCCATGTGTGCAGGCGAATAACAGCAGTGTACCTTTTGGTCGTAGAGGGCGTCCACGAGCGTTATGAGCCGCCTGGCTTGAGTTTTCTTGTTCAGCGTCAGTAGAGGAATGTGTCGAATAAAGACGGTGTCAAACAGTCTGGATATCTCCAGATAGTCGCTGGCCCCTAAAGGCTGAAACAGTTACATTCAAACACTGGACGTCACAATAATTCAACCTCTGAAAACACTTATGTGACCTTGGCTAGTGTACTACACCAATTTAAGCTGCCATACAATTTCAATTTCCTGGGTTTTAACAAAGAGAGATAAATAATTTGTCTAGAAATGCTCGTTTACTAGAAACTTGTGGCTTAGGACTTAATTTGCCCATGTATTTGGACTGCTTCGGCCTCTACAGAGCCACCTGTGAGTCAGTATTTTAAAAATTTATAACACAGCCAAGGACTTTAAATTCTGGTCAAATTCCCAACACTTCAAAAGACACCAAATAGGCTGAAAGACAGCAAAAGGTGTATAAAATGATATTTGCAGCAGTGAAAAGTTCTTCTATAAAGTATATCAACAAGCACACACAGGGTAGACCACATGTGACACTGTCATACTATGTGACTAAATTGCCTCTGAAGCATACAGTGGAAGGACTTTTTGAGGTTTTTGAGTTTATAATGACTCTATAAAGGTCATTATGGCTGGACTGTGTCAACTGTATGAGGAAAAAGAAACCCTGCACATTTGTTTTCACCATCAATCTGATATTTCAGGGAAACCAAAAAAAATATGCAGGATCATTCATGATGGTATGACAGCTGGATTTTAACTGTTAACAACCAAAACTGGCACAAGTTTTCACCAGCAATTTGAAAGTCCTGGGAAGAACGAAGAAGGGGAAGACTGCTGCAAATGATCTGTCCATTATGAACACTGCTTAAGCCCCGTTTCCACTGAGCAGTACGGTTCAGTTCAGTTTGGTATGCTTTTTTTCCGTTTCCACTGTGAAAAGTTGTGGATGGTACCAATAGAACCGTTCCGTCCCCATTTTTGGTCCCCCCTCTGTTGGGGTACCTAGCACACAGATCTGGTACTAAAAGGTGGAGCTGTGAACACTGCAGTCTGATTGGTCAGTAGAAGACGGTCACTCTGCTCAGGGCTGAGTTGTGGCAGGTTTTGAGTCTCATGTAACCACTGTTCATACTGTGGAGAGGTTTATTAGTAAACTGTAACTATAAAATGAAAGGATGTTTTGCTGCCTCTCACAGCAGCAGGAGTCTGAGAAACAATAACTTAATTCACTGGGCCGACCGCCGGCGACTTTTAAGGTGGAACATTTACTTGTAATGTTACTCAATGCATGAGTTGATGATGTGAATCCATCAACACACCTTAACTTTTACTGTGGCAACTTTGACCATTACTTTAGTTTTTATTGTCTCTCTTGGATGACATATTCTTTTAGTAATGAGTGCATCTTTATATTCTCGTTCCTGTGGGCTCCACCAACACTAAACCCCTGAGCTTGCCTGAGAAGGACTAAATGCACAAACCTGCTATTTTTAAATATCCCATGGAGAGAGACTCTCACTGCAGCCTGTTCTATTTTGTTCTGAAAATGTCAGCGTGCAGCCTCGTTCTGTGGATGATAAACCGGGTGCAGACTGATAAAGGAGGAAATACAGTGAGTGCTGGACGGAGCAGTGAGTGACAACAACCCCGCCCGCATTTAAGAGTACTGTTTGCAGTGGAAACGCTAGGGTCTAGGTACCATGTCTGAAGGGTTACTTTTGGTTCCAAAGGTACCATACTGAAAGTGTTTGGTGGAAACATGACTTAACAATGTGAGCATAAAAAGTTTTTTGTTTGACAAAGAGCTCAGAACCAGGCAAAGAAATGTAAAAAAACAGTCTATCCATTAAAAGACATAATAATCCAAAATTAGAAGTCTAGAATGACACATGTAGAACCATCGTATGTACTGCACAATATGTGTATAAAACAAGTAAAGGTCTGAGAGACTTACTCTGTCACAGAGCTCCTCAAACGTGCAGTCTGCGATGGTCCCACATGCTTTGTTCAGACGGACTTTCCTGTTGTGAACAATCATAACTCTCGGTCGTGTTACTGTGGAGAAATATAGAATGGCAAGTTCACCATGTGATATAATAGATTGTAATTTCTGTGGTAATACAGATAAAATTCTGAGCACATTATATTTCAGCTATAAAGGTCAAATGTAGTTTGAAAGTCTTCTTACTGTCGTTCTGCTTAAAAGCCAGATCATCAAACATCTTGTCTAGAGTCGCCTCTGCATCAGGCTCACTGGAGCTGCAGTGAACGTCACAAGGAAACATTAAAAACACGCACACAACAGATCAACATCTAGCTTTCAATGGAGGATTGTTTCACTTTATGGATTACAGGAAGTAGAGTTTTCCAGCTGTGGGTTTGTTCCTTTTGCGGTAATCTATCCCAGAATCCAGGCGAAGAGTCTGGCAATATTTCTGCGTGTGAGAGACAAATGATTAACAGGTGCAAAATAAAAAAAAATAGCATGTGTTTTCTAATACATTATCTGCTTTCTTACCTGCAACACAGCAATAAACGGCACAAAGTTGACTCTCTGCAGCCCGTTTTTATACAAGTCTGAGGAGAAAGAGAGGGTCATGAGCTGTTTTAACATTTTTCTACTTACAATTAAAAAGCACAGGGACTTTAAAAGGCAATTTTTTAGGTCACAGTGTCCCATTCAAACTATTTTTTGTATCTTGAATAGCATATGGAGAGATTTAGTCTTTCTTTACTAATTTATCAAAAATTACACACTGATACAAATGATGTGTGGAGATTTTTTAAATGTTTCTCTTAACATGCGGAATCATCTTTGACACTTAATGGAGGCACACTGTATCACAATTCAAAACATAAATCCGAAGCTGACACGCAAAGGACATTCTAAGTTATCTGGACGCACACTAAGGATGCTTTCACCCCAATCTGTTCAGTTAAACTAAATCTGGCACATTTGCCCAGTAAGGACGGCTGTTTGGGCAGGTATAAAAGCTGTCAATGTAACACTGGTGCAGACCAAAAAAAAAAAAAACGAACCAAGACAGATTGAGATGGCGGGTCTCAGTCCATATATAATATATCAACGATATATGATATCAGCTGTGACTTAGTCAAACAGAGAGAACAGCTTCTGAAAATGTGTTGGATTTGCTGTTAAACTCACCTTCAGGAGGACGATTAGACGTGGCCACAACAACGACACCGTTCAGAAACAGATTCTCAAAGAGCTGCTTGAGAATCATGGCGTCAGCGATATCAGTCACCTGGAACATTAGAGTTTAGGTCAAATGATACAAACACAAATAATGTACAGATGCTGTCAGACTCATTTAAATGTCTCTGTACTGCACTGATCAAAGAGATAATTACCTGAAACTCATCAAAGCACAGCAGACAGGCCTCCTCACTGATCTCCTCAGCTACTGGAGCAATGGGGTCGTAAGATTTGGCCATTTTCCCTGCTTTCCTCTTTGGCATGCTCTGCTTCAGCCGATGGATTCCTACAAACCAAAAGAAATAAAATAATAATAAAAACTTAGTTTTAGCTCTGTAGGATAAGTGTAAGTACAAATGAGTACACTTGAATATTCTACTCTTTATCTTGTGGTGTAACAGTTCACAAAATGTAAAGTTAGACTGAAGTGCTGTAATTAACTTTGCTTTCAATACAAAGTGAGAGCTATTTGCTATTTATATTTATCTGACTTTATAAAAGAATACTCAAGACTTTTACTGGACCCATATAAAGAGCCTTGTCAGCAGCGTGCCTATATATAACGCGACATAAGCAGTGCTTTAAATGTAACAAAACCGAAATGTGGTGGCTAAAACAGGAAATATAAGTGCTGCTTAAGAAACACAGTTCTGCGTTGTTCCACAGACTTTGAAAATAGCGTGTCGAGATGCTCATTTCACACCAGTACTGAAATGAAAGCAGTGAACTAAACCCCCACTGAAACCTGTTCAGATCCTCTCAGGATGAAATGCTGACAGTGCAGAGGACAGTATGGAGGCTTGTTTCTCTTCTTGTTAACATACAGTAAGATATATGGGAAGTACAACTAAAGCTGACACACCAGGCTACTGAATCACTCTCAATATTTGGCTTAAGACACCACAATATTACCAAGGATACACAGTGTTGTAGAGGCAAAATCACTTTGCACAGAGCTGTTGATTCAGTGGGGTGTCTGTCGCTAATGACGTTAGAGTTTGAACAACTCTTAAAAAGGGAACAAGTAAACTCATTTCTGGTTCAGTGGTGTAACTAAAAGAACAAAAAATAAGCTTCAAAAAGCCTTGAGAAACTAATGAACGAATGAATCGGCTCCCTGTTGACACAGAATTCATTCGTTCAAAAGGTAAAACTTATAATGGTCTAGAAGTTTTACACGGTCTATGTCCAAATTATTTCACCCGTTATTTTCAGTATGTTCGTGATTCCCTTTGCATGAATACGAGGGCGAGTGTATCTAATCTGAAACATCCCAATCTAAAAAGTAAAGCAGGTAGAAGCACATTCCTCCAAACAGGATGGGAGGAGAGGAATATAATCCTAAATCAAATTTAATCAGCTCATTCTCTGAACAGTTTCACAAAACAGCTGAAAAATGGATGCCGAGTGAGCTAGTGAAGTGAAACATCCTTTCCAGGACAGGTCCAAAGAATGAGTGAGTACAGCAACAGACTCTCATCACAGAGGTACCCAGCATGAAGCGCTGAGCCCCCTGAGCTGAAGCTTGAATTGTGCGCGAAACCCCTGAGAGGAAAACCGAGTGAGCCAGACTCTGGCATCATGTTGTTGGAACTGTCTGATTCAGAAGTGAGCAGTAACTCTCTGCTGGGCTCGAAGATTCTGGTTCTTTCACTGAGCGTAGGAGCAATGGCTGTTCGAGTACAAACAATATGACAGAGACCACGGCCTTATCATGCCAAATTACTGATGACTGTCAATGTTTGCTGTTCAATCCTGGCAATAAAACAACTTATCACTAGGTTATAATTACGTATCACCAAGCCCACTTACACTATGGCATTTAAATAGAGTTATTTATTTGTGAGACTGAAACAGCAAAGAGAGGATGTCAGTTAGCGGCGGTTGTGTTCAGAACGAACCTGGCAATGGAGCCATGCTGGGTTCATCTGAACCCTCTGAAACCTGGAGCAACATCACTTTTCTTGTGCTGTGCTCAGATGCCTTTCACAAGCATTGAAACCTTTGAGCACTGAGCTAATTGAGCTAATTTCTTTTTGAAAAATATGGGGGAAAATACAATGAACAATGTGGTAAGAAATATCCCAGAAATTGAAAAAAAAGATAGATTTAGAAAATGATATTTAAAAAAATAGGGAAAAAAGAAAAAAGCTAGGAAAAGATTACATTTATAATTATTAATATTATTCAATTTTAAAATAATGTTACAGAATAAACTATAATTTTTAAGCACTCTTTCCAGGTCCTTTCCTGGTTTGTTTCTTTTTAACTTTCTTTTAATTTTTTTTTTTTTTTTTTACTAATTTCTTACTCATTTTTTGGGTCATTTCATCTTTTTTTTAAAAAAGAAATCAAGCCAATTTCCTCATGTTTCAAAGGGTTAATAAATAAATACAACAAAATAAAGTAAAAACAAAAATCTATCTTCTGCTAATGTTTCTTTTCTTCCCACTGCACCAAACAGCCATTTGCAGCTGAGTGACCCTCCACGAGGCTTGACTCAAAGCTTGAGGACCTATTTGCCCTCTGGTGGATGTTAGGAGCAAAAGAAAATCAACTGTGACAATGATGAACATTATTTGCACCCTCGGTACAAACATGAAGCGTACTCACTTTTATGCACGTCCAACATGAAGCCGTGGAAATGAACCCTCTTCTTCTTTTCAGTCTCAACGTAAGAATAAAACATGTCCATCACCATCGTTTTCCCTGTGCCTGAAGCAACACAGAGGGAAAGTTTAAAACACAAAATGTCGGAGAAATGTAAAATATATGTGAAACTCTGCAGTTGTTCTCTCTTACCAACATCACCGTAGATGTAATAACCTTTAGGAGCCTTTGGTTTGGTGAAAAACTGAAAGACAAAATCAGCAGACAGGTTCTGATGTTACAAAATGATCCCACATTAAATACAAGTCTTCAGAAGAACAGACTACAAAACGTAAATTTCTGTAATTAATCATTAAGTTTCATGTTCTTTATTATATCTGCATAAAATAGTGCTGAAGTTCAAATATAGGAGTGACATATATCTAAAATAGAATTAAAAATAGTGCTGAGATCGACAGATAGAATGAATTAACCATTATGTAAACATGTTATGCAGTAATGTGGTAAATGTATGTGACAGCTTAGAGCAGGATGTCAAACAGCATATAGATACATAAAGTGCTGTAATTATTTAACAGCTTGTAAACAGGCAGTCACATAAAGAAACAGAGACATACAGAGATGTGAACAGGTAGTAACATGACATAAAAGTAATAGTAATGTGAGTAACAAGATGTTGCATATCTTGCATACCAGTCTGTGATTGCAAACAGTTATTTTTCCTGCAATGTGCCGCAGCAGCTGCATCTGAGTCGATGACCAAAACACTCATCGGACAGGCTGGCTCTGTTCTGAACCACCACAGCAGATCTGTCACAGTAACTGGCAGATTTACTGCCACAGAAACAACTGCGATAAATTATATGATTGTCATTCTAAAACCATTTTATGCCGACAATATGATACAATAATGTAAGTACACCCTCTCAAAGAGCAGTGAACTTTTAATTCGACCAGAACTGACAGAAAAATGTGTCTCTGTGTAGTTTTTTTATGCTCATTTGGTTTGGACACGGCACCCAAGGTAAGGAAAACTCTTGTGTTTTTTCACAAGGGTGATATCGAACAATATATGGACATGACCACGATCATTTTTGCTGACCTCAATAAGTCGAGAAAGTAATTATGATGACACGCCTACACTTTGGTCAACCAGCTGGGCATTTTCAGTAAGGAGACTAACTGGGTTCCGCTGTGACGGGGACCGCTACATGAGGTCCTTCCTCCTCTGTGTCAGGACAGACGGCTCAGGAGGTGAAGCCTCACGTTTCCCCCTAACGGACTAAAGACTAATACGAATATTCTCACCCTGGACTCACACACCTTTCATCTTCTTTGATTATCTGACCAATAACTGCACTCATTTAATTTGACATTTAATTCTGCACCACTTGCACTAAGTCCACCTCACAGCATTACACGTCAGTAAAAATCCTGTCATTTATTTAAGCTACTGACACCTAGAGTTGCAATGATTAATCAATCAGTTGTCAACTATTAAATCAATCTCTATCTAATTTAATAATCAAATAATCAGTTTGACTAATTGTTTAAGAAAAAAACATCAACATTCTCCTATTACATCTTCATTAATATGAATATTTTCTCATTTTTTTCCTCCCTTTTGACAGTAAACTGAATATTTTTGGGTTGTGGACAAAAAAATGACATTTAACGTCATCATCTTGGGCTTTGGGAAACACTGTTTGACATTTTTCACCATTTTCTGACATGTTATAGACCAAAAACTAATAAACTGATCAAGAAAATGTTCATTAAGTTGCACGTGTTGTATATTGCTGAATGTTCCGTATTATATTTTTGACCACTTTTAAGTCAAAGCTAATGTAACCTTTTTTTACACTGCCTATTCCACGCAAAATTACTTTAAACTCAATTTTAAATAACCTTTTTTATCTTTGCACCTCTTGTCTGAACTTTTGCTATTTTAATGGTGATTTTTTTTGGATTGTAAATCATTTAGAAATCAATTATACCTTTTATATCTTTTTTTCACTTCACTCTTTTATTGTAAATCTGTATCCCATATTATATTGATATAGATATATTTCTATTATATTGCTCTGTAAAGCACTTTGAATTCCCCTGGTGTATGAAATGTGTATGAAATGTTGTTGGGGTTTTTTTGCACATTATTTGTAAATATATCTATACAGGACAAACAGTATAAAGGTAACAAAGGGAACCAGCAATCACTGAGTGTGTTTGTGTCTGTACCTTGGAGATGAAGGATGTCGGTGTGTTGCTGTATCCTCGGAGCTTTTTATGGAGCTGGTCCAGAGTCTGCAGCACCGCTTTCTGATGCTCATCCTCCCGCAGGGTCCCATCTCTGATCAGCCCGGTGTAGTGATCCAGAGGCCCGGTGAACCCGGCGGAGCTCACCCCGCTCTCCTCCACCGCCGGCTGGGCTTTCACTGAGTAACCTTTATTTAAATGATAGCAGCACAGTTTAACTAGCTGACTGTGTGTGTGTGAACGTTAACTGACCTGTGAGGTAATGTTGCTGCCGAGGACCAAAGGTTAGTGACAGCTGGTTAAATACAAAGGTAAGTTTAAACAGAAGGTCACATATATATTTATAGGAGTAACGTCACCTGGACAACTTTAATACAGTGTAACTATTGCAGAAAATGTTAAATAAAAGTACAACTAGGTGGAGTTTTAGTAGAAATTAGCTTTAGACCAACGGAAAAACTTTAAACTCCTTAACCGTCACTACGACTCACCCAAAACTCGTCTCACCTCGTCTGCAGAGCTCTGTCAGACATTTTAACAGCTTTCCGGATGAATATTGTTCAGTCAACAGACTTCTGACGCCCAGTAGAGCTGAGGGTGACATCTTTACAGACAGCGGTATGCACACCGCCATCTTGGTTTCAAATTCCCTCAACGTAACTTTATTAGCAAACACATAACAAACAAGAAGCGTGTCTCGCTGTCGGCCAGCAGGGGGCGGAGTTTCACTCAGGCCACGACCCGGGATTTAATTAATGATAATATTTATTATTATTATTATTGTTGTTAATATTTATTATTATTATTATTATTATTATAATGTCACAGCACTGCAGAATTATGATAATATTTTATAATTATATATATCAACATTTATAACATATAATTGCTGAACAATTCTTCAACAAACAATATTATGAATATTATTAATAATATTAAGTATTATTAATTTTTTTATATTGTTATACACAAATAAATAAAGGGATTTTTAAATAAATAAATAGATAAT